TCTTGGCCACGCCCACTCCTCCGCTCTGCATGGAGAACAGCTGATCAGCTGCAGTAGGAAGTTTATCCTGCAGTAAGGGCTGTACAAAGCTGCAGGAGGAAGCTTTTTCTGCAGCTCTGGGCTGCACAAATGTGTAACAGGTGCTGTCATGTCCAGTCTTATTTTGAAAAACTGCGATAGAGTGAGTCCGCGATAAACGAACCACGAAGTAGTGAGGGACTACTGTATATTTATTTGGTAGAGTTGGAACTAAAATACACGTTAAGGTGTCAGTCTTTTCCAAAGTATTTTTAGATGTTACATGTAGAACTAAATAATGAAAATTGTGACCAAACATTTAGGACTGTGAGATAATCCATCCCTTCTCTTCAGAACCATGTGTTAGCGCAGCATTGGATTAGTAAGCAGGCAGTTGATATAGACCCACATTGACATTACTGATTACAAAAGACCAGCTCTTCTCTAAAATAAAAAAAAAAGACTTAAAGAACCCTGCAAACTTGTCTAAACCTTTTTTTCTAGTCTACATCAAAACGGTTTTAGAAATAAAATGGATTAAACAAGTGAGCAGGGCTGTAAAATGTGAATAATCTAACATTTTGTCAAGAGTTTTTCATCTGAAAGCACCGTTACGCATTCGGCAACTACTAAATTAAAATTGTTGGACTATACCTTTTTGATTTTTTTTTTTTTTTTTTTACCACAGTAGACTTGTAATTATGCTGGATTAGACTAAATACAGTAATGTGTCCAGAATAAACAATGTAGTCATCAGTCAAAACATTTATTGCTTTGGTGGGGGCCGCCCAGCCCATATTTGTTCCCCTGGTTAGACTCGGCTCGTCTTTTATCAGAATCAGTCCAACATCTCTTTTATTCATTTTCCACAAATTCTGCTGCTTCTCATCCAACAGTTTGGGTTGTGATCTCAGTCTTCAAAATAATATAATTGTTCTTGATTACCAAGAAGAGATGCAAAGTGTGTGTAATAATTTAAATTCCACTTTAGTTTTTCTTTGGACCAGCCAACTGGTAAAACATTCAAACGTTTGGTTTAGTTTTCTGCATGAAATGGACATCTCAGACTCACAAAACAACTTTGATGCATTTAAGGACCGACTTCATTTTTACATCTCATTATGGGAGGAAACTGATTCTTTCCTTGTACAGAGACAAGAATTGTCAGTACCTGAAACAATCACAGGAACAGCTTTTGTAAAAGAAACGTGAGATCACTTTCACATTGTTGTGGCGTTGTAGAGTTTTGTCCCATGTTCGCACAGTAAAATGTACAAAACATCACCATGTTGTTAGTTAGTGACCTGTAATCTTATTCACAAGCACTTCGAAGCATGTTTATTTATTTACAACATACAGTGTACTTTGAAACAATAACACATTTATAAATAAATATTGCAATCTTAATAATCTTATAGTCCCCCTTTTTATTGTCAGTTTGTCACGACTGGTCACCTGAGCTTAACGAAGGTGAGGCAACCTCTGCCCACTCCGTTTTTTTTCATCCATTCTTGTATGTGCTATCATTTACCAGCAGATTTATCAGTTTCAGTCCTGGGCCTTTCTATATTTTGTATCACCCCTTCAAATGCCAGTTTAAATAAATAGAAACAATATCTAAAAAGAATCTTATTAAATCTTAATAAACTTGTGGACAAAAAGCTACAATTTAATGTATTTCTATAGTAAAAAGAAAAACAATGACAACGTATTATAAAAAAGTATAAACAAAAGGGAAACAAATGTTTTCAAGGATGTTTCATGAACCCATATTATTGTTAGAACTCATATTGTTAGATAATCATTCCACAAGGTCATTATTTCCTGGTAGCTCCATATACTTCTAATATGTCTGTCTTGTTGCCTATAGGTACGTTTTTTTATTTATTTATATTTTTTCAAAAATTCCCATTACAAAGTTTTCAGGCAGAGTTTTATGTCCGAGCCGCTTCCTTTTTACATGACACATCTCAGCGTCCCCACTTGTCATTTACAGACTGCCACTGTGCTACACTGCACCACTGTTCAGTCACAGACAGGCCGGGAGTGGAGGGGATTTCAGGATTGGTTCTGAATACAAGGAAAAAGCAGTCAATGTCTGAAGGTTCAGGAAATTAAGCCTTAAAAATGGCTAGTGTCTTTTCCTGTTTGTATTTGTGCAAGAGTAAAAACCTCTGTCCTGGATCTGAGGGAGAAAGTCTTTTAATGACACGTCATCTTCAAACTCTCAGCACTGTTTGAAGAAATAGAACAATTGCTTGAATTCAGGGCTGATTATTTCCCACTACTGACTGTGAAATGACTGAATTTCTAGTCGAATACTTCAAATATATATTTCTTTTACATTTCACATTATACTTATGAGCAACACCAGAAGAAAATGGGTCACATAATGTATCAACGACTGCATCTTTGATACACATTTCAAACAAATTCGGTGATTCCTTATGAGACCTGGTAGATAAATGAAACTTTTAAATTTTGAAATTAAATGTATCATTATTCCATAACCAAAGCCAAAATTGGCAATAAATAATAAGTTAAAAAGACTTGTGAAGTCAATAGAAGATAAAGGTTTCTCAACATCTTGTTCAAATGTATTGTGGCATGAAAAGTTTGTCCAATACGGTACCCTGAATTTATTATGCATGAATACAGTGGTTATCTTGTTTTCTGAACATAAACATTCAGAACCAATAGTGACAATTATTGATTTTTTTTTACACTAATGTCAATAAGTAACACAAAAACAAATCCATAATGTCACTTATTGTTTGCTACCATTACTTTTAGTGTGAGTCAGTGGTGACTTTATGCTTTCCTTATGCCCAAACAGATGCTAAACATAAGCAACCCCAGTACTGTCTGTCTGAAAATCTTCCGACATCTTTAGGACACTTTGTTTTCTTTTTACTGCTCCCGTCTTGCTCCCTTAGTCCCTCCATTAATCCGCTGCAAAGGCATTACAGGTGAATTGTACTCATTGCCCGTTCTTCCTTTTGCACTCATCCACTGCCACCTCTTTTTTTTAAGTCTTACTCTTATCAGTCACAGATTGTCTTGTAGCCTCTCCATGTAGGTTCTGATTTCAGACCGACCCAGGTCCATATCCTGACACACCCATTTGATGTCATCCTCATTACTATTGGTTACAAGGACTGAGGAGTTGGTGTATGCGCCACCCCCACATGAGTTATCCGTGGGTAAAACAGTGGCAAAAGATGTGAATTTGACACGTTTGCGTTTGGCAGCTGCAACTGCAGCTGCAGCCGTGGCTCTGGGAGAATTATTCAAATGCTCTGTTTGACCAGTAGTGTCCTTGCCACTGGAAGTGATTGCTGAAAGGCACTGATGAGGTTCTGGGACAGATCTTGGCAAGGTTTGTCCATGGGTGACTCCCCGAAGTCCACCTGTGCCACCACTCCCACTAATCTTGCCCATGCCTGTGCCTACACCCATCACCAAAGTGTTTCCAGCACCATTCAGCAGGTACTTGTTTTCTTCGTATCCTCCTTCATTTCGATCAATGATGGTGGTGCATTCATCAGGCAGTCCACCCTGACATTGGTCAGTGTGGTCAGCTAAAAGGTCAGCCTCATTGCCAAGCCACACCCAATCATGTGCATGGTTCATGTTGCCGCCTGCCTCTAGTACAGGAACCTGCTTGTGACGATATCTGCAGATAAAAATATAAAATAAAATTAGGCATCAATGACACATTTTTTTTCTTATTCTGTGTTCTCTTTTAAAAATCAGACAATAAAGGAGAAGGGGTTCTCTGCAGACCAAAAGTGGGCGTTTCTGGAGAATAGGCATTTGTAGAGGACAAACACTGATTGGCTAGCTGTATTTGCTGGCTCTTTAGGTAAGTTACGTCAGCTCTTTTTAAAAACTGAATGTTTCTAAGAACCAGCGTTATATCTGCTGTCAAACACAAGAAGATTCTTTTTTTGTTCTTGGGTTGTAGGCTGCACCTGACACAGGTCGGCTTGAGTGTGGTCTGGGTACAATGAAATACGAAGCATCTGAAGCGAAACCTGCTCCCATTTGTCAAAAAGTCTGGTCTCAATTAAAGATCATGAGTCCTGTAACAAGACAACGGCCCAAAACAAATGCAGAAGAAATAACAAGTCCTGTGCTGCAGTTTCTTGTGAACTATGGAATGTCCATGCTAAAAAGGTTTCATATCAGGTAGAGCAGACTTCTTCACACCTTGTGGAGAATAGGCTAGCTTTGTGTTCAACTTTTTAAGAATCAAAAGATGTCTGTTGTGGTTAAATAAAAATGTTTCTTTTGCAACTAGTTGGACTCCTTTATAATTTTGCATATGAAAACAACAGATCTGTTTGAGCTCATTGAATGAATCCACAAATGACTTCACTAGAAACTGAAAAAAGAACACATTTGGCTTGTAAAAAACCCATCAGGTTTGTGGTTCATAGATCCGTTCATATGATGATCAGCACAGAACCTTTAATTAAAAAGTAACAAGTGCTGAGTTTAAATTATCAGCTTGAATGAGAGTTTTTACCCTATTTACCTGAAAGCAAAGCTGATACAGTTGATGAGGAAGACCAGTATTGCCAGGCAGAATACTCCCAGAAGGGCATACATCCCAATCTCCAGATCTGACAGGCCTCTTGTGGTCTGGGTCAGCTCACCATTCCCAGTTCCTGGTACCTCCACCTGTGCAGGGTTGCTGCTATAGTCCCCTTGCTGGTTGGGCCCACTGCCTCGGCTGCTGCCAGCTCTTCCACCTAAAGCACGGTGGGTCACTGTGCTTTTGGTTGTTGTGCCAACCTGATGAATGTAATTTCATGATAATATTACATAAACAGAAATTTCTTGATATCTAATTTAGTGAAGTTTGTTAACGCTGATTACCAGAAGTGACTGTAAACATGTTAAATAAATGTGGATAAGAGTGATAAACGAGAAGAATGGGTCAGCCTTTTATAAACAGAAAGTTAAAAAAAAGTACTTTACCTTCAGATCTAAAACTCTACAAAACAATATTTTGTATATAATTTATGTAAAACTGTTAATTTAACATTCCTAATTAAACTCTTACCTTCTTCATAGCTCCTTCCTCTCTGTCCACTGCAGCACTGTTGGACTTCCACTCTCCTCCTTCCTTTGTCCTTTGTTCGTTGGTGCTATTGTCCAATCCTCCACCATCCTCTGGTCCACCTCTATCTTCACTATTTGCTCCAAACTTAACAGCCACATAACCAACTCCAGACACCAGCGCACTCTTCCGTTTGTATTTCTGACAAGTCTCGGAGATGATCATCTCGACACGAACCAATGACCCTTGTCCATCACCCTCTGCAACTATAATTGGCCAATGCTGCTCCTAAATGATCATACAAAAATGAACAAACCAGGTTTAGTTATGCTTTACATAAAAAAAAACTTAATTATTTATTTATCATAATGTGATTTTTAGAATTCTGATCATTGGTGGTCACAACCTGATTGTTTATAGAGATGACACTCTCATTTAGTGAGACAGCTGAAAGGAGGAAGTCCTTAGGATCATAGACATTAAGAGGCGTCACTGAGCCATCACTATACTGGATCCATGCACTGAACCCAGCTTCCTGAATTAAAAACAAATAAAATGGTTACAGTTCCTGCATTCATTCATTCATTCAACCTTTATTTATACAGGTTAGTTCCCATTGAGCCTCAGGGGGACTCATTTACAAGAGAGACATGTTACATACAACATACAGAGTAGATGAGGAAAAGAGAACACGAGGGTGGAGGAAGTTAAAAAACATCATGTCTCAAACCATGTCCTGGCCGGGGCACAGTGTAAAAGATGCAAAAAAGACCTTGCGACATAAACAGCAACATATGATGATATCACAATACATTTATGCTTAGGAGGTCAACAAAGACAGTGAGTTGTCCATGGACACTCCAGAAAGCTCCAAAGTTCTGATAAGATGGAACAGTGTCTATCAGCGGCACAAATCTGATAAGGCCACAGAGGTCCTCAGGGTTGGGAGGGGGAGGATCTTTCATAGTTTACATCCTCCAGAATCAATTTGAGATAAGTTGGTCTATCCAAGGCCAGCGTAGATGCCAAATTCAGATAAACAACTATTGTTTTGGGAATCTACTGACAAGTCTGCCTTCAGTTCTGCTGGAACACTCAATGGCGAATCCAAACAGCCAGATCCATGGACATTTTGCCAAAGTCGGGCTTACAACTCCTCAAAGATCTATTCCTTCCAACCATCCGTGAACACTGCCACAAAGTTCCACAGTTCTGCCTGCTCAGCTCTGTTACAGGTCCACATAGTTCGAACACAGTCTCGAGTGTTGCCAAGCCCGGCACACACATTCCAGACAGCTTAAACAGCTGCTGGCATTTCCGAATTTGTCCACAATCCAGATTTCCACCGATTCCAAAAAGCAGATTCCAGTTATCATAAACACAGTTATGTTTCAGAGAAGAGAGCTCTCCTTCACCCAGTCTTCAGGGTGAAGGAGAGCCTCTTGTAAATGAGTCCCCGAGGCTCAATAGGACTAACCTGTATAAATAAAAGTTGAATGAATTCACAGAGATTAGTCTGTAAAATCAAACTCTGGTTGGCTGGGATGACTTTTGTGTGTGATAAAACACTATTACCTCTGTGAACGCTGTAAGAAATTGTTTCTTATTACTATGTTTTGGGAGATCTTACTTACCAGTAATTTTGTTTACTAGCACAAGGACTATATTTTAGGACCAAACTGTTGACTATATTAGAGTTGAAGGAGAATGTGTCCAGTGATGAGCATTTCTAAGATGTATCTTTTTATCGAAATGTAAATTGTCTCATAACTCTCATTGCTTTTGTAGCCAGAAGCAGCTGTTTCTGTCGAGAAGCTCTAAACTAACCAAAGTAAGTTTAACTTAGAGCCTTTTTGCAAACAAGCAACAAGACAAAGAACAATTTCCTGTTAACTTCATGAGATGTTAGGATTGCTTGTGGTGCAACAAAATCTAAAAATTAATAATAAGTTGGAGTGACTTTTTATTATTAAAAAAAAACATAATGAGTATATTGACATTTGTTAACCTAAAAGAGTAGATTACAACAGCAATATCCTTCTAGCTTTGAAAGCATATAGCTCTTTTCTCATTTGTATTATTTTAGATTAGATGAAGCTTGGAATTTATTCATAGTTTTATCCTGTCTTCAACATGACTGCACAAAATAACATGTTGCGTATTGAAAAAAAGATTTTTTTTTAAAAAGAGACGTACCTACACTTCCATCTTACCCACCTACGTTCATGGAAACCTTTTTACATGTAAGCTTCAACTACAAAGCACACTATTTTTTCCCTTGGTTTCTTTGTGTTCTCACTCTCTATTTCGCTTAAAACTTTTTTGTATGGATGGTGTTTTGTTTATAAATAAGATAAATAAATATTAGAGGAAAAAAATACATTTTGTTTGTGAAAGCTTGGTTTGTTGTTTGTGCTAGTGTGAAATCTAGGACCAGTTAATGTAAGAGCTTAGTTGGGATTTTTGTAACTCAAGGGTTACTTAGTGTACTCTGAGTCCAAATTCACTGTATATTTGGATGTTATTAAAGTTATGCAGGCAAAATAAGGAACATTATTAGACAATGGGAATGGGTTGATGTGGTGTGGTGAACTCTAGTCCCTAAAACCATCTGAACAGAGCTGTAAAGACGTTAGGAACTGTGCAATGGTGTTGTTTTACTTGTGTTACCAAATTATATTGCATTTATCATCATTCAACTGTTTTAAACAAAAGTGGACAGGTAAAGAGTCTTGCAAACAATGAATGCCTCCCAGTGTTAGCAATATGTTATGACCTTGGAGTGAATTTATTAAGAATGATTGCCATATTAAGTCTGATGCTACAAATCAATGAACTTTATTTATGTTATTGTTTTTTAGAACTCAATGTTTCCTTACCTGTTTAGGTGTGTGTAGCACATCTGTAGCTGTAGTGGTTAGCTGTATAGCCTGGTAATTTCCAGGACTTGCCGTCATACTGAGAGACAAAGATGCAACCAGCTGGACTCCTAGATCTGTGATTGTTACCTAAAGAAATAAATATGGTATTTAAAGAAGCTAGGGAAAAAAAAAAAAAAACTTTGTCTTTTCTGTGCTCCCTATAAATGTCCGATAATGAATGCTATTAAGCTCAGAATAGTCTCCTGGAATGAACAGTGTCACTTAAAACACCTCTGACTTTGTTTGGAAACTGTAATAAAGTGACAATAAAACAGGCTATTGTGGCTCGGGTGAACAAAAAACATGTAGCGTGTTCTTGTACCTTATCGTCCAGTACTGTCACAGTCTTCTCTGCCAATATTGAGTCAGACAAGGGAGACAGAACCTAAAGCAAAAGATAAAATAAATATGCATTTTATAGAAAAAATATATAAATATGCATAAACTTGAACAAATAGCAACATAAATCAGTAAGAAATTAGTAGTTTTACATTATTATTATTGTGTTTATTCTTATTAAATGCATTTTTTTTTATATAATTTGACAAGTTCAGCAGACCAATTAAAAGCCCAACAGGCCGCTTGGTAGAATGCCCATGCCTGCTTTATAATGTAGCTGTTTTTGTTTCGTTTTTTTATATTGTTTATTTCATTTACTTTTCATTTTATATGCTTTTTAAAAGTTTCTATACTGTTGTCATCTGTGTTCTTCGTTTAAAACAGGTCTCTCTTGTAAATGAGTCCTCGAGGCTCAATGAGACTAACCTGTATAAATAAAGGTTGAATTGAATTTGGTCACGCCATTCATCAGGAATCATTTATTTATGTTGACTGTCTGTGATCACATCCCTAAAATGATGACAAAGCTTTCATCATTACATCTTTGGTGCTGAGAAGAAACTGACAGTGACAATTAGTCATATTTTTATTATTCCACCATACATGTTGTAGTCACACGTGAAGAGAAATCTGTGACAGCTGATGTACAGTTGATGTAAAGCTGTTGCTAAGTTGAGGACAGAGTTTCTGTCATTTCATACTGAACAATTACGCACGTTAAATAAAAAAGGTGAAGGATGCACACATCAACATGCATGAAGTGTATACTCTCTAAGCTGTGCTTCAGAATATTAGTATCCAGCTATCTCAACATGGCCAATAGAATAAAATGCACACTAAAAGTAAGTGGATGAATAGAGAAGACAAGTAACGGGAGAATGTGAGGGTAATATAACATGTGCCAGAAGTGGAGAAACAATGACAAATAGAGGCGAGCGAATGTGAGAAAGGCCAGAAAGAAGGAGCAAGAAAGAGATTGGAGGTGCAGAAAGAGAGCGAGAGAGAGCACAAGACAGAGTGACACAGATAAGGATCCTTGTGTTGTAGTGTACTCCTCTGCCTGGTGACATGAGGACAGGCAGATCTGATTGGTGTACAAAGAAAATCTCTCAGTGAACATGTCACTGTGTCAAACTCGATCCTACCCTCACCAAGGAAAAAATAAATAAAATAAAATAAATGATTGACATCCTTGAAATTGCTCTTCAGGACTGAGAATGAGAGGGTGATGGGGAAAGACTGGGGGGGTGGGGGAATAAAGAAAGAGCGATGGGCAGCGATGTAAGAATTGGGGTTTGGGGAGACTGAGCTGGGGGATAAAATTAAAATGTCAAACTATCAAATGGTGGCTGTCGACTCTGGCATCTAAGAGGGAATGCTGGGTAAATTCTCACTCCTGGCTCTGAAACAGTGTGCAGCTGCCTGTGAGTGTGCATTTCTACATGTGTGTGACTATATCCCAAGTTGAGCTGATGCTTAACACACAATCAGCCGTTTCCAAAAATCCTCAAACTGAATTCAGCTCCAACCAATTTAACAAACACACACGTGCTTCAGAACTGTGATGCAAGAGCAGTTATAGTGACTTAAATTCATTAAAAATATTCTGTTAATGATATAATAACTGGACAGAGTATTAAATATTGTACTGAAATGTAGCAAACGAGGTGGTTAAGTTTCAGCTGTGTGGTGTAACAATAATGTGCACGCGTAAAACAGCCACAGATTGTTTTTATTCTGTATCGTTAGACTCATTGGAATTCAGCAAATGCACAAATGTGTTTTCGGTCTGTATGTGTATAATTGCTGAACATCACACCAAGACATCAAGGCCAAATCCCCAATAGTTAATTATGGTTAATTGTGTAACGAGCCAGCAGGGGAGGCTTTTTGTTACAATGAAGGAGGAGAAAAAAAGGATGGCGTTTATGTCACCTGAGTGCTTAGTGCTGCAATGTGAAGTACCAAATTACACCGTGCTTGACATAATCAGAAATTTTCAACTGACTGTTTCTGGGCTTGTTACAAAAGAGATGTATATTATGCTTTTGCAGTGTGAACTTACGTGTCTGATAATGAACAAATATAGAGGGAAGGTTTAAGTTGAAGCGCAACACCAAACAGAACTTTTTTTATGCATTAGAATGACACAATTACTGTATTTTTTGCCATATAGGTCGCACCTTTTTGCATAAATTTGCAAGTCCTGCGACTTATACACCAAAACAACTATGTATGTTTTTTTTTTCCTATATTTATAATCCGATTTTTGGCTGAGATCTGACGACTTCATTCATTCTGACATGAAAAATATTGAACATTACCATTTTCAGTTGCTAGAGGGTCCTCGAGTATTGTGGAAAGCCAAGTGTCTCATTAATAGGTGGCAATTAATGAGACACGTGGCTTGCCATACAAAGTCACCTTTGTCTCACTCTGGAACTCCTGGAGCAAACGTCAAATCAGTTGCATTTCGCCACACCGCCCAGGTGAAAAGCAGCTGATTTGACCATTACAGTGCACTTATTAAGGAAACGTTCAACTGAGACACACCTTTAATATAATGTAAAGCAAACAAACACTTGTTTTAAAGTGGTTACCTTATTAAATTTAGAGGAAATGCACAGAGAGTCCTCGCTCTGCGCGCACCTGCAGCCGTGAATCAATTTTCGAAATGCAGCTGATTTGACTGTCAAAGTGCATTTATTAAGGAAAAGTTAAACTGAGACATCTTTGCTATAATTTTGAGCAAACAAATGATTGTTTTTAAGTGTTAATTTTGTTAAATTCTTGTTATAGACCTCCCGTGCAAGCTCCCACGGCCGCTATTTGGCAACCAATCAATTTTTGGCACAACACCGGCCCATGTTTCCAGGTGGTCAGCAGTTACACATGTTGATGTGACTTATACGGCAAAGCAACATATATATGTTTTTTTTTCCACAATATTAGATATACTTGGACTGATGAAACTTATTCGGGGGGTGTGATGTGTATGGCGGAAAGTACGATAGTCAATCGGGTCTTAAAAAATAAATATACGAGACCGAGTCTTGTTTTTAGGGCATAAAAGAGAGCGTACTTGTATAGTGGTGATGCCAAGGTCCCGCCCGATTAGGATATGTCCATCTACTAGTCTGGCAATGCGAGGATCTTCTACCTGTGGAGCAAAAACAAACAAAAAAACAGCAGTCAGATAAAAAAAAAAAATCTTTTGTTAAAACAAATGCAGTTTGCAACTTATTCTCACATAAATAAATATTTCTACACAGGAACAACCAATTAGAAACAATGTCTTCATGCTAAATTTATCAATGAATACATTCTGGATGTCTCACTTTGCAGCTGCTTTTAATTTTGAACAGGACTCTGCTTGTATTTTTTTTTTTTGCACATTATTACAAGAACAAAAAGGATTTGTTATCCCTACCTTTAACTGGTCTGAGACCAAAGGTGTAATATCAGCTTGCCAGTCAGGACCCAGCATGTAGATCATTTCTCCTCCAGGGTCTGCCGGCTCTGCGACAAAATAGGTGAGGACCCGCACCAGTGCATACTGGTACTGAAAGGTAAAGAAGAGGGTTACGTTCACATGTATCCCACAAAGTACTTGGGTTCATATTAACTCGTCTTGGTAAATAATAGCATATGATGCCATCTTATTATGTAGTCCCTTTTTTCCGGGGTCATGACAAATAAAACTGGTTTTAGAACCGTCATGGAATCCAGTCAAGTTAATTACCTGTAGAGTGCAGCCTTTTCCCTTTCTATCATCATCTTCATCATCCTCGCTGTCTCTGGTGGGTCTGGGAAGACAAGAGATGGTTGAAATTGGGGGAAACAACTGAAGTGATCTGGTCATTTAAGATCTTTTAAACATTGTACACAATGAACGGTGTACAGTAGTAGCCAGTGAACATAAATACAAACTAAAAGTAGAAAGGTGCAAACGTGTTATTGTAAAGGAGATTTTTTTGTCAGTTGCATCATTTGTGTTTCCTTTTTTTTGGTGAGATCTAAACACGTTAGAATTTTTACTATTTTTCCCACACCAGTGTTTGCGATGGAGTTTCGCATGGTTCTGTGCTCGGACCTTATATTCGCTTACTTTAGACAATTTTAGACAGCACATGATACATTTTTACACTTTTGCTGATGACGTTTTGTTAAATTTATCCATACAGCCTGATTAATCCTGTCAACTAATTGTTTTTAACACTGGGTTATAATCGGCTATATTTATTACCTAACCAGCTTGTTTTTTGGCATCCATTCTATTGATACTGCTTTGCTCTTTGCTTTAAAAGTTATATTACTTAGATCTATTCATAGCTAAAGAAATATAGCTCTTGCTACAATTACAGAATGATAAAGATTTCCTATATAATACCACATATACACCCTAATAAACATTACAATAACATGATAGTATGAACAGTTTTTGCCATGAAAACATAAAATTATGTGAATCTGGATTTGGTGATTTATAAACCCAATAATTCAGAAAAAATGTTTCCAACATTGCTTCATTGGCAGTGATAAGACACAACCTCAGCGAAGTATTTTAAAAATCATTATTTTCAGGAACCCAGAACAGTTGACAGTGGCCAAAAAGCCACTATGCAATGAAAATCCACAGGCACGTGCTGTCAAAGCCTAATAATTCTTTGAACGTTCTTGTAGTGTTAAAATTTTTCCCTCTAGCTTCTTTACGGATTTTTCTCTGTCGAGTAGGCACGAATAAAACGCCAATCTTGGTTCTGTGCGCCCCTCTGTGAAATATCTATCCAAAACACAGAAGACTACCTCTACGTCTTATAACCGTCCCTGCTCCCCTGTAGCCAGGTAATTCTGCAGAAAGTCTTTCCATTTCCCAGAGACCTTGTCACACATGGGTCCGTTGGTGCAAGTGTGTGCCTAATAGCTCTTGTGTGTTTTTTTTTACTAAAATATTGTAGTTGAGGGAGATGGACGCATGTTTGTGTGCGTGAGTGAGAGAGACTGTGCACATTGGTTGATGGCTATTTGAGCAGAAATTGGCAAAATTGAAAAAGAGGTCCAGCCGAGCAGAATAATAAAAAAAAAAAAACATGGCAGGATGGGGAATAGAAGCAGCTCACATAAGTGATGTACACACACTCAACCATGCACACACAAATTCACACGGCATAACAGGCGTGCATGAATCACAAAACATATAGGCCGGGGAAAACTGAGACTTTATAACTTGAGAAACAGAGACATACGTTGGATGACTGTAATGCAGCTGTTGGGTTATGTTTTTTATTAAAGTTTCAACAGCAAAACGCATTCTGAGTAAACTTAGTAAGGCTTATAGCAGAGTTTAAAAACATGTTTTAGTTGGGTGTAAAAAATATTGTAGCTGAAAATACTATTGAGCTGCACCAAAGTTCATGCTCAATAATCCAGGTAAAAAAAAAAAAAAAAATCCAACAATGTTCAGTGAGGTCATCTGGATGTTTTTTTTTTTTTCTGAGACGTTTCATCCTTCATCCAAAGGACTTCTTCAGTTTGAGGAGCCACCAAACAAACTGATTTAAAGAAAACAGCATACTCCACAGTGGGAAAAAAAAAACAGTTTGCTGGTGTTGAGATGGCCCCCGGGGCCCGTCCTGTCCCCCGTCAACTCCTCTGAGACAGTCATGCCAAAGTGGTTCAAAACACCAAAGTTCATGCTCGATGATCCAGGTATAAAATCCAACAATGTTCAGTCAGGTCTTCTGGACGGTTTCTTTTTTTTGTTGAGACTTCTCATCAGATGACCTGGCTGAACATTGCTGGATTACTGAGATGTATTATGAAAAAAAAGATGTATATGTGTTTTGATTTTAAATCAAATTGGATCACACAGTTTTCCCACCACATTATAATCCCAATAATCTGAAAAAAAAAAAAAACATGACTAAAAAAATCTACAATTTAAATCAGAGTAAAACCTGTGAGGAGTTGCGAAGGAGGGTCAGTGAGGGAACATATCTGTATGGTTGTTAGGCTGCGTATAGTGAAAGTGGTTGCAATGATCACTTAAACTCAGGTGACAAATGATATAAAAATTAAAAAATACATTTTATTTGAAACTTCCTTGTGTTCTGAATTATTTTGCATGACGTTTTTACAAGATGCTTGAAGAAAATCTCAAAACAAGAACACCAGAATATCAGTTTTTGACATAGAGAAGCTCTGATCTAACAGCAAAATGTGTCAGTGGTAGCTTTTCAGAAAAACCTTCCTGTTGAAACAGTATTCCCAATAAAAAAATTATAAAAATAATATGAGAGGAGCAGAAAAAATGCCTTTGAAGCCTGAATCAGATCTGATTGGTTGTGAGTTGTGCTGGATTTTGAGCAACAAACAGACCACACTGTTTGATTCTCGTCCTCAGTCTGGAGGTCAAGCAGGTAAATTACCTCTTGTTGGTGGTGATCGGCACCCGCCAGCCTTTGACCTGGCTCAGCTCAGTATCAGACACATCTATCTGGAGGGGAAGCTTGGGCACCCAGATGGTGAGCAGCAGCTGAGCAGACAGGTGGAGGTAGGTGAAGTTGACTGCCAAGGACTGCCGGCCTCGCATTTCCTTCCCGTTCACCAACACTTGGTCACAGTTTGAGGAAACCTAAAAGGACAGGAACAAATGGGAAATAAGTTTGTTACATCATTTGCATCTCATTCGATTTTTCACTCGGATCAAACATTTCAGGGGTTTCTTTGCAAACTGCTGCAGCCTTTGTATTTCAGAAGTGACACAGCCTGGATGTTAATGATTTATACATATTTCCATCCATCCATCCATTTTCTTTACCCGTTTATTCCATTTTGGGTCACGGGGGTCGCTGGTGCCCATGTCCAGCAATCACTGTGCGAGGGGCGGGGTACACCCTGGACGGGTCGCAAGTCCATTGCAGGGACACATAGAGACAAATGAGACAAACAACCATTCACTCTCTCACTCACACCTAGGGACAATTTAGAGTTACCAATCAGCCTAACATGCATGTTTTTGGACTGTGGGAGGAAACCGGAGTACCCGGAGAAAACCCACGCATGCACGGAGAGAACATGCAAACTCCACCCAGAAAGGCCCCTGGACCGGGGTTTGAACCAGGGACCTGCTCGCTGAGAGGCAGCAGCTCTACCAGTTGTGCCACCGTGCTACCTACATATTTCCACTGTCTTTAAAATAACTTGATACAGTTGTGGTTCCCATTGTTGTCTAAAAATATCTAGTTTTATAACTTGATCATTCCTGTTGTTATTCCAATGGTGGAAAAATAATTGTGCACTTAACCAGAATAAACTTTCAGGCTGAAAAACAGAAACGAGATGAAAGCACATAACTTTACACAAACCCAAAATACGCTGTCATTCGTGCAGCATTTTTGTTTAAGTCATTTTCATTCTTTTTTGTAAGATTTAACTTGAACACAACCTCTTGAATGAATACAAGCACAGTCCTGTGGCGCATATTTTATAAAGTGCAACGTCTTTGTTCGAACAAAACAGATTAAAACAAACAAAAAAAAAGTTTTACAATTTGCACATCTGATCAATGCTGTCTCTTCTCCGTCAGCTCCCACCTTTTAATTTATTTCAATACAACTTCCCCTCCCTCTGTTTATGCTCAAGCATAAAAAGAAAAGTGTCCGACCCTCCTCTTCGCTACTTTAAAATTCCACTTTGACTTCTTTAATTTTAACTTTCTTTATATCTACTCCAGCAATTGCCATTTTCCTCTCTTGACCTTCTTTTTTCCTTTCGTCTCCCTGTCCCCCTCCTCCCATCATGGTACGTTCTTCCTCTTCATCTTCTTCTTGTTCTAAAACCCGATTTGCCGCTTGTTAACATCAAAGGGATGTTGTACTGTTGGTGCCTCAAACTATTTCTTCAATTCATTCTTATTTTCCAGGTGTAAATTAGCATGAAAATGCCTTGGACACTCTAGCCACATTTGGTTTTCCATGTCGACGGTAAATGATATGAGAGAGCACAACATTATAACCATTGACAAAGTTCTTTTTTCTTTTTTCCAGTATACATTTCAACATTTTTATGAAAATTAAGCTGGATATGATAGGAGGACTTTTAAGAAATACACGAGGAACATTTAGGTAAGGCGAAAGGTAAATTGTCAGTTTTCATTTTTAATACAATAAAAGTTCAATATTTTTTAAGTGATTTATTACAAAAGCAGAATAATGAATGACAAATAAATACAGCGAGTTTATTCATATCGACATATGCCACCAAAACAGGCACATATTCAATGTATCTGTCCTCTTTATGTCTCTAAGTACTTAAAGAAATACTGTAATTCTGTAATTAGTTCAAGAGACTACTACGGCTTTTCCCACACTGCAGCATTTAGCCAATAAAGGGAAGTGTGTTTATCGATTAATTTAATTATTTTATTTTATTGCAATACAATATTAATCTTCTGAAAATTTGATAGTATGACCTTACAGTCATTCAAAAAAAAATTATAATAATTAAATAAATCAATAAAAGCTAAGCCTTACTGAAGGTCATATCTTACTGGGTTGTTACGTTGACAACTCAAAATTGTAACAAACATTCAAAGTTTTCATTGAGTCTCACTTAATGTTGAGTGTTTGTTACCAAGTCAAGTATCCTTGTCCTTGTTGTCACAGCTTAAGTGGCCAGTTGTTGAACATCACAACTTTTTGCCATGTTCATTGTTTGCAAAATGTATTATTATTATTATTTCTTTCGGCAGCTCCCTTCCTCAAAAGTTTTCGAAGCGAACCAACTCGCACGAAGACTTGGCAATTGTTATTACACTGGACGCCCTTCCTGACACAACCACAGACCATCGAGCTACCACAGCCCTCTGTGTGGAGCAGAGAGCTGCCATCTAGGCCCCCTGGGGAGCAGATGGTGGGTGTTAAGGGCCTTACTCAAGGGCTCAGAGCACAGTGGGGCAAACACGGGTGGAGGCCGGGGTGGATGCTTCACATACCCAACCCACATTTTTGATGTTTTCTGTCCCAGGGCTCGTACTGGTGACCTTCTGCTCCCAGGTTCATCTTCTCTGCGCCACAACTCCCACTAAATTATTATTAAATAATCCAAAATACAGCTGCCCACTTTGTACTTTCTTTGCCCACATTAATGGCTTTATTTACTGATGTACATGTTGGAATGAAGACGGCCATGTTTGGACCAGTTTTGCATATTTGCATAGTTTTAAACCTTTTCATTTGAATGTGATGTTTCCTGTCAGGGGACAGCTACTGTGCATGTGTTAAAATACAAATCTAACACAACTGAGACCAGTTGGAGACATCTCCAGCAGCACCGAGAAGAGCAGAAGAGCATGAGATTAGTTCAAGGTGTCTGAATATTTTGAAAGGAAATTTGTGATACAGATTTTTTTCAACAGGTTTCGAACTCAAGTGACAAGATGTCTCGCCACTGCGACCACCCTTGAATGTTTCAAAGCAGTTTGGCGTCTCCTGTGTGAATGCTGTTCTCCAACAGTCACAGACCAGTGAGATACTGTCCAAAGAAGAATGAGACACACAAAACATTTAAACATTTTTTTTTTCACAGTTAGTATAGGTAAACCTGCAAATATGTAAGGACAGGTTATTAACATTAACCTGAAAAAAGCATTTTTATGTGCATGATGAAGTTAAAAACATCCATCCATCCATCCATCCATCCATCCATCCATCCATCCATCCATCCATCGTCCTGCTTATTCTGAAGTTGGGTCATGGGGGCAGCAGCTTGAGCAGGGAAGCCCAGACATCACTTTCCACAGCCACCTCTTCCAGCTCTTCTAGGAGGACTCCAAGGCATTCCCAGGCCAACTGAGAGACATAGTTTCTCAGTTGGCCTGGGTTTTTCCCGGGGTCTCCTTCCATTTGGACATGCCTGAAGCACCTCCCTAGGGAGGCGCCCAGGGAGCATCCTTACCAGATGCCCGAACCACCTCAACTGTCTCCTCTCAATGTGAAGGAGCAGCAGTACTGCTCTGAGTCTCTCCTGGATAACTGAACTTCTCACCCTATCTCTAAGGGAGAGTCCAGCTACCCTGCAGGAGAAACTCATTTCAACCGCCTGTATCCATGATCTCATTCTTTCAGTCACTACCCAGAGCTCATGACCATAGGTGAGGGTAGGAATGTAGACTGACCGCTAAACAGAGAGCTTTGCCTTACAGCTCAGCTCTCTCTTCAAGACAATGAACCAGTACAGAGTCCACAATCCTGCAGATGCTGCACCAATCCGTCCTCCAATCACATGCTCCACTCTTCCCTCACACGTGAACAAAACCCCAAGAAACTTGAACTCCTCCACTTGAGGCAGAACCTCACCCTCGACCTGAAGAGAGCAGTCCACCCTTTTCTGACTGAGGACCAGAGCCTCAGGTTTGGAGGTGCTGATTCTCATCCCAGCTGCTTCACACTCGGCTGCGAACCGCTCCAGTGAGAGCTGAAGATCACGGCACGATGAGACCGTGATGTCATCCATCTCACTGATTAAAATAAAACTCAGTTTTAAACTAAAATATAAATAACAGTTGAATGCCATTTCACTGCTTGTTTATGAACCTAAACAGAAGGAATTTATTTAAACACGAATCCTTGTGGTCTCTGAGTGTTTTCCAAAAGATGGATTGTAAGAGACGCACAAGTCTGACCACAAACAAAAGACAAAAAGCAAGAAAACTTTGAAACAAACACACAGAACAAGTGCACTGTGCCTTTGCAAGTAAACAGCTGAGTTAGAGGTTTAAGGACACTGAAGAATGGATTTAATCTCTTAAAAAAAAAAAAAGACTCACAGACAGAGCAGGACGAATGGGAACAAGAAAAAAGAGGAAGAGAAGAAACAGTCACAGAAAGAAAGGAGAGCAGAGAACCAGCGCTGGGAAAAACAAAACATTGCAACGAGAAAGCAGAAGTGTAGATCTCAGCAGTTAGGACTTGTTGAAAGCACAGGTCTGAAAAACTGCCTTCACCTTCATCAAATACCACAAACACTACACCAGCAACACAAATAGAATTGCTGAAAACTTTTGCAACGTCTCAGCAGTAGCTCAAACAAAAGAACCAAATCTAACTTTTCTATTTTTAAATATTCTAACAGTAGTGACTGAATAACCTGCACAAAAATGTATACGAGTGCCCGGTTTAGTTTATTCTGTTAATTTCTAGGAAAGCTGTTTCCCTCTACTGTTTGAAGGCTGAAACAGTGCACGTTTTTGCAGTGTGGTGTTCAGTTGCTGATTTAATTTTTCTATTTATTAAGTGATAAAGTCTAAAATTTGGTTTTGTGCTAGAGTAGCTAAGTAAAATTAAAAAAAATAAAAATGCCACAAAGTACATGCTTTTTTGAATTTCATTGTTTTAACAATCCATAATTAAGTTTATTTCGTTGTTTTTTCTACATGCATCTGTAGATCCTTCCACTATAAATGATGTGCTTACAGTTAAAATGGGGTATTATGCATGCAGGAACCTTTTAAGGAAAAACAAGTTGGCTTTTGTGTTGAGGTTAATTGATGGTCATGCCTCAATCTGCTGCGCATGAGCACGCAAATCCTATAACAGCTCCACTTAGCGTGTGCTTGTCAAACCACATGCTGCT